GTCGGAGATCCGGCGACAAAATAGATGCCTTGAAACACGGTACTTGAAAACTAATTTTAACGTTAAGAACGGAATACTTATTTAAGCACTTTAGACTCAAGGTGAAAAAAAGGTTACACACGTAGGGATGTTTCTTTTTTTTCCTAATGAAAAGCTTTGAAACTGTTCTATATCACCCAGAATGCAATCACTTTTTTAAAGGTCGGCTTGAAAAGTAACTGTCGGTGAGATACGTCTTAGTTGCTCAAAAAACTGTGCAAACTGGCAAAAAAGAAAGGCTAACTTTCAATATTCCCGCGTGACCACAGAATGGATACGAAATGAATAGTAACCAACCGAACATAGCTCGCATCGTAAGTTTCTTCTCAACGTTACCCATTTTTTATCAAATCTGACTTGGGGAATGGGGTACGTTTTCTGCCTAATTTTCCAGGATTTCACACTAATAACGACGCTTAACAAAAGAAAATTATGTATTTCTTGTCCTCCGTGAAAAGATCATTTGTAGTATTCTGATTGGTTGCTGAGTGCCGGTTGCAAGTGCATATATAGCGCTGTGTTTTGATCTTATCAGGGAAACAAACGTGCCAATTGTCTCTAAGCTACAGTTGCCCATTCGTCTGTCCGCCCATTCGTGCGCACGCTCATCTGTCGGATTATCAATCAAGCAAATCAAAATCCTAGGAATGCATCATCCCAGCCGAGTCGTGATTCTGGAGACAGTTTACTTACACTCTTCCAGGAGCTGATGATCTTTTTGTCTGTCAATAAGCAACTGACAGAACACCAGCATCACGGGTTGTCTGTGGGCAACCAGCACAGTCACAAAACCAAGGTATGCGACAAAAGCTAGAAAGAAAATTAAGAAAGGTTGTCAAGGATCCCATAGGTTATGCTCTAGTTAGCATAATGAGAACTCTGTAAATCTCGTGCAACGCTCTCGAACAATTAGACGTGAATCTATTACGAATCGCTACGAAGCCACTACCGTTTGCTGCGTTCTGGGCAATTTGTTGGATCTTGTCACTAAAGAATTTCTGCTCGACCTTCCTTTCGTCACTGAAGTCTTAAAGACATTAATTAATTGGTTAAAAGCTGTCTTAGGAAATAGTTAGCAACTTGGCAGCAGAATAGGTCTGAATGTTGTATATCTCACTTCACATAGCCTCTGCCACTTATAAATTGCTTGTACTGGGTGCGTGCTACGTACCTTTGTCCCAAGCCTGGAAACCCTGCACCAGTGATGTTCGATCTATACGAGAGATGAAAATCACTCCTAAAAGCATGCCCTTTAGAATTCGCATAGAAGCAGAGAGAAGTCCAGGAATTATGTTGCAGAAGAAGAAAAAGTACGACATGATGGAGAATAGCCGCCTTAAAGAGAGAGAAAGAGACCAAAAACAAAGTGTTCACGATACGGGCTGAATATTTTAAGCTAAGTGACCCATAAGCAAGATGTGAATCTAGGAGAATTACTAATTAACCTGGATGCAACCAGTACAACACGCAACAAACCAACAACCACAACTACAGCAACAACAATAACCATCACAGCAACAAAACCCACAACACCCATCACCACCACAACAAAATTAATAACAACAATAAACACCCAAACAACCATAAGAATGTAGATACATGCCAAAAATCTTCCTATTAGAGACGTCTCTGTCGGCGAGTTTTTGCGTCGACGTTCAATTAATCTATCGCAGCTTTGTATTGAACGTTCTCTCGGCGAGGCGTGAGTTGACCACTAAACATACAATAGCATATAACGTATACAATTAACACAATAATAAAATTTGCTGCGCCATTGGTCATCAGCAGCCAAATAGAGCGGAGTCCAGTTCGGTCTGTAGTCGTAACAAAATTTGAGAAAGAAACTAGACATCAGACTGATGTACAACAATACCTGTTATCAATTGTGACAGTGATGTTTGGATAAGTCGAGTCACGAAAGACGAAATGTGTTAGAGACAACCGGAACAACATCAGAAAAATAGCTGAGGCCAAAATGGCTCTGTAAAAAAAACATTCCATGAGTACTAGATTGCGTCTTTCGAAAAGCCTTCAAGTCTCACAATAATTATGAAATTATGATTATAATTATGAAACCAGCTTAGCCACGAAATCCTGATCCTGCAAATATGTTACTGTATCTTGTTTTGATGCTTAAACAATCTTTAGAGTTGCATCCTACATGTAGAAGAGTATTTTTCAATTGAGTGTCGAAAGTAATCGATGATTGCTGTGATTTTGCTTAACTTCGCCGTGTGATTGGTCCAGAAAGCTCGCGTCACCTTCTCAACCAATCATATTCAAAACTTGAACGAATCGTGATTTGATCACTTGTGTTTTCCCGCCTTTTACGCAGTACGCCCGCAACGATCACAATAACCATACGGCATATACACCGATGGCATTTCATGAAGTGGAGCAACATCAAAAGAGAACTGACAGCAGACAAGACAAGTCCTGCTTCTATCCCGCCTACACAGAAAATTAAAAAAAAGAAAAAATTATCATCAAAATTTATCATCTAACCAAGTTTATTTACTCATCTGTCGTTCGTAATAGTTTTTCCTGTTTAATTGTCTTATTAGCGGCTGTTTGAAGCCCTGAGTTAGGATTGTATATTTTTCTTTTTGGTTGGTGCGTCTACTGGTTTGTTTCCCTCTCTTGTTGGTCTGTTTCAGGAAGGTTTGGGTCGGGTAGAGAACGGGAAGGAGGTTTGACTCGCGTCGAAAACAGGAAAGAGGTTTGGGTCGGGTCGAAAACAGGAGTGAGGTTTATGTCGCGTCGAAATTTGGGTCGGGTAAAAAACTAGAGGGAGGTTTGGGTCGGGTTGAAAATAGGAGGGAGGTTGTACCGTTGTACTTATGCCCCCTCATTATAGATATATCCTCTGACGTAATGTGATACAGTGCCCAATCATATCTTGTGATCTATCGAGCAACACGCGGCTTGGGACTGGTTAAGAGACTCCGTTGTAGTTCTGTCTTTAAGCAAAAGTACTCATTCAAGGGGGTCGGGATAAGTGGAAAATTTGACCAGTATTTTCCAGTAACAGCGGATGAACAACTTCTTGCTGATTTCAGGAAAATTTGCTATCTACATGGTCATTGCTAACCAGATCATTGGCCTTTCTCTCACACACATTACTTCCCTGCAGTCTTGCTTTATTTACACTCTTCACTGCTCGACTTGCGACTCCAATGACAACATTTTACCCACAAGCTAAGACAAAAGCTCAATGTGGTGTCATATCATAATTGATTTATTTTCTTTAATAGTTGAAGATCATAGATTATGATTCGTCGACGCAAAATTATATATTTTTTTGACGCTTCATCCTGATCTGCTAGAGGTGAGATCGACTGAGAGGTCAAAGTTGTGATTATTTGTCTGCGTCACGAAGTCTTCCTTCAGTCAGAGAAGTTTGGCCTTCAGTTATTTATTTGGAATACTGTGGGTTTTTGCTGTATCGCACTGAGCCCTCCGTTAAAAATGTTGAAGTAGTAGATTTTGATTTTATTGCGGTTCCGCTGATTATAGTTGTTACACCTTGCTGCATATTTTATACTGTCACAGATCTAGAGCGCTCTGTTGTTATTCCACAGAGCACTTCAAGCTCAGTGATCTGAAAGACAATGATCTTTGAAAACCAAATTCCTCACGTGAAACTTATGAGCACGTACATCACATGAAAGCCAGTACGGCAGCCGTTCACGAATATACACTATCCCCTGAGCCATGCTCGTTTTCTATCCCATCACCTAAACACATCTCTTTTTTAGTACAGTTTCTAAATCACTGAAGGATACATTGCACTTGTGGATGGATTTGTCATAATCTTCCCCGTTTATGACAAATTTACACAAGGATCAAATCGAAAATCGGGGTAAAGATGGCTACGGCAAGTCGGTAGGATATAATCCACTTAAAGGATGAATTTCATAGAATTCACCCCGTTTTTCTAGAGTTCACTGATCAAATGAAAAATCTGGGTAAAGATGGTTACGGTAAGTCCGAAGGATTTCTTCCTCTTAAAGGATCAATTATAACAGAATTTAGCCCTTTTGAAATTGTCAAACTTCGAGCGAGGAAATCTTTACGATCTTCTTACACTTTTGCATTGCTTTTTTCCCCTAGATTATAGCACTCGAGCTACCTGTGGGCTGGAAACTTTAAATCTGTATCGAAAGTAATACATAAAATGCACTTATGTATGTAGGTATGTATGAGAAAAGAAATCGAGCACAAAAACAGTAATGAGCGTGATAAACTAATGACTACGGTGACGATGACCATGGAGCGTGATTCACTCCGTAAGCAATTCGCACAGTCAGTCGGTCAATCAGTCATTCTGCCATCACAGTATTACCAACAGCGAAAGCAAATGTACAATAGTATAATAAAATTATCTAACTCACCTGAAAGATCGTTAAAGCGCCAACCAATGAATTGCATCGAAAATTTGAGATCTAAAAGTGAAATTCAGGCAAAGTTAAAACAAATTTTAACAACAAACGACTGGGTGTCATTTAAATCATCTCCTTATTCAAATGGTTCCTGATCGTTGCTCAAAGACATGGCGCGGCAAAACATCTTTACATTTCCGTTGTTTGTAGAAACGACGAGGCAGCCTTGAAAACCAGTTTAATCCAACCATATTCGCCCTATTTGAAGCAAAACAAAAAGAAATTATACCACTGATCCTGAGTAATTAGAAAATCATGATCATCTGAATGAGCTTACGCAACGACGAAAGAACTATGTCACCGTGACATATGGACATATGGCCTAAATCATTCATCACCGATGTATGCATCAATCCCACGTTTATGTTATCGTTGGTGATCAATGGCAGCTCTCTTCTTTACGTACACGTTCTTTTCAACCAAACATGACAGCGTTACACGTAGGCCAAAGGAATCAAGACTGATTGGAGCGCTTTCCAGACCAATCATAAAGAGTAATGAGTGAATTGAAAGATTCAAGTATAAATCTAAAAGCGTTTAGTAAAAAATTCTGCAGTCTGATTGGCTTTGCTAATCCTTCACTATTTAACAATATTTGAGCAACAGACCGAACATTCTATCGGTGTACCGGCATAGTAACCTACTTGAGTTGTTGGGAGAACACGACAAAAGTTTGTAAATCACTCACCCCAGGCTCTTTATTAACAAATTTTCCCCGCTTTCTTTTAACATCCCAAGTGGGTTTTCACGCTGGTAAACCTTTAAAAATTGCGGTCTGTTGCTTTTACAGTATGACTTAGAACAAAGCAGATGGCTTAACCAGTACAATAAACGGTAGGGTTTTAACTAATCAGGGCGTAGTATCTAAGTTATTCTACAAGGCGTAGCAGTTACGAGTGCGATGTCTGAATCAATCATAACGCAGAGAAAATCACAAGCAACAAATCTTATCGGTTAAGAATAAACCAACAAATCGTAGAAAACTTAGTAACAAGATAAGCTGGTGTTTTTATCCTCTTTGTTTACAACCGTATAGTGTCAGGCTAATCCCTTAAAAAAAACTAACTCTCTATCATGACGCTGATAGATGTATTCTGTACCCGGTCACTTCTCCGACATGTCAGCTCGCCAATACCATTGGTCAACTCGTCAACAGTGACATATTTGATCCGAGACTGATATTCAATACTAATTAGTGATATACAGTGCGTAACGTGAATAGCCTATGTACAGATTATAAAATAAAGGGACATGTCTTGCGGTTAAGTTATTAATGCTCGGCTGATTTCTACTGAGAGAATACTGTTATTTTCCTGAAAATTCTGTGCTTGATTTTCGATTCAGGCTTTGCCCTCATAAGCTGTCAGGTGATAGAGATCTCGTGCGAATAATCTTACCGTGGGAAAAACCCATTTTACAACAATTTATCTGAAAAAATTTTTATGTAGTATATTGTCAGGGTTTGGTATCCAACCCTGCTAGATTATTAATTTTAACCGCTTACGAAATTGATCCTGGATGCAGGACTTCCGTCGTGTGAGCGATCTTCGTTTCTCTGGCCAAACGCGTACCGCGGACTTCGTCGCCACCCTGGAAAAGAAAAGCTGATGATATTTTGTCAGCAGTAAAAGCTTCCACACAAACTTTAACCACAGTTACCCTTATCTGAGGATGGTTCCAGACAATTTATGAAGTACAGAGAGGGAGCAAGCAGTAACTCCTCCCCAATCTCCATCCTTGGACAGCTTTTTATAGCCAGCGTACAAAACTGTGAGACGGCTATCACGAAAATCGCGAGTGATCGACGAAATATCGCGCCATAAAAACACTTATCTTGTAAATGTCGAAAGTAACCATTATCGCTTTGTTTATGCTTT